CTAATTGATCGTAATGCAATAAGTTAACAGTAAATACCATGAAATATCTAGGAATTACATAATTCAAACTACAATTCTTTTCTTGCTGTTGTAGGATGTGGATTACTTTTAAGTGACATTTTCTTCGCAATTGAACGTATGTTATGTAGGATTTGTATGTATTTCCGGCCACCTGTGCAAATGCAGGAGCATCACAGTTGTGGAGATTAATTTCATTTTTATGCTGATCATGGCTAAGCAGCGAATAAATGCGATTCTATCTTCGTGCGTGAATATTTCCTGCTACGTGATTGATTTTTATTTTTATCTATTGTATCTTTAACTATCGTTATGTAATCTTTACTTATATATTTAATATAACATCTAAAAACAACATAAAGCAAATATTAAAAAGATTAGATTTACAAATAATGTTCTCAAATTCATTAAAATTGCAAAAAATACAAATCTTATTTATTAATTATTCTAATAATTAAACAATATATGTATATGTTACGGTAAAAGTACATAATTGGTAAATGTATACCGACTTGATCGGTAAATGTATTAATTCAGCTTACATTTTCCCGGAAATGTATACATATACCTAACGACGTCGGTAAATGGTCATATAAGTTTACAAAACTGCATAATTAAAGGTTATTATTTATGTTTATTAAATGCTTTGGCATACAAATTAAACTGATTTTGTACAGTTCCGTTTAGCGTGCAATTCTTCAATTAGTATAATTAAATTCCAGAGACTACTACTTTATTTGGTGCATATCAGTAAATGTATGCATTTACCGATTATATACTTTTACCGTAATATATTTATATATTTATACAACTATAAAATCTACAATTGAAATGTGGTACAACATAATTTATATTGTCTAGGAAAAAAATATTTGTAAAATTAACAAGGAAAAGAAAATTGTCTTGAAAGATAACTGTATTATAACATGATAACAGAAAACTTCAATTTATAAAATTATCAATTATTCAATAAGAATTAAATCTATAATTATTTCGATTTTACTTTTATTCTTTATTTTCCTACTTAAATTTTATACAGATACTACTAAGTTTACTAATACATTAAATTATTCCAATTGATAATTTAAAAAAATATTAAGAAAATTATTTTATAAATATTAAAAAAAAAATACAAGATTTAAATTAATTTATTGATAAAAATTATCACATTGTCAGTATTATTCCATATCTATATAATAAATATGAAACTTACAAAATTTCAATGGACAATTTTATTTTACTTTAATTTCTTAATTATTTTATAAATTTCGTAGGCTTAAAATATCATTTAGTTCAATTATAATTTGTAACATTTATTCTAATTAAAAACTAGTTTTATCAAACGTAATTTTTGTAATATAGTTCAAACGTTAATTGAGAATTTGAAGAATTTGATAATGAATTAATAATTAGTTTTTGTTTGTAAACTCGAACAATTTATTAATAAATGTAGGTTGAAAGCTCACAATACTTTAGTTGTGATTACTTCTTATACAGGCTATAATTCAGTTACCCAAAATACGCTCTCTTTGTGGTTCACGAAATTTAATTTTCTTAATCTTCCGTTCAGTTCCTTTCATATTATTTCTTTTTTCATTTACGTTCTTTTATCATCGTCGTCCCGGATTTAATGTAATCACAGTTACATGTCACATTCTTTTTTGTATGTATAAATAATTCGCGGCGCCCGCACCTCGACGATACTCTTCTTTTTTCTGTTATTTTCTTCTTTTTTTTTCTCTCTCTCTCGCATCCACCGGGTGGAATTGTATTTTCGTCGGGGCTTTTGTGCCTCATGCACCGTTTGTTCTGGATCGTCTTTGTGCGAGCGCCGGAGGGTGGCACATAAAGGCGCCCATTGTTCCAGAAGGGGGGCGGCCGTCGCCTCCACCGCCGCACCCCCTGTGACTACGCCACTGCCGTCGTCTCCGTCGTCTAGGCGGGCACAAATCCACCCCCGCAGACTAAAAATCTCCAACTAACCAAGAGGACGACCCACTCGACATAAGTGTGCCATGAATACGCTCTCAGTCATTTGTTTCGGGAACGCGTGTCGCTCTTACAACCCCAAAACCATCCTCTGTCTGCCATTCACCGAATACACGTCTCTTAACACAAGACGACAGGTTGAAAAAAAGGGGAATGCGTATCGCGAGTAATTAGCTTCTTCACCTTCTCCTTAGCCTGTGAATCAAATAGAATTTTAAAGTAAAACTGTCAAATGGCAAAAAGTTTATAATTTGATCAAAAGATAGCTACTTGACGTTTTGGAACTTTCAGTTAAAGTTAAAGTTAAAAATCGTGTGGCTTGCATAGATACATTACAGTATTAAGTTACTTCTTAGGTTTCTACGATTTTTGCATTATAACTAATGTTTACAATAAGATTTTCTAAGATTGGTAACTTTTAACCTTATTTTCAAAGCATTTTTTTAACACATTGCAGATGGAGAATTTGTAAAGAATTGGGCGAATATTTCTGCCGCTTGTCCGTAAAGGATTAATAAGTGATTACAACCTTATTTCTGCCTCCTTTTCGATGATTTTTTTGATTATGTCAATGTTTAGTTATACTTAATATTATTACATCTTTGGTTTCTACAATTTTTGCATTATAACTAATGTTTACAATAATATTTTCTAATATTGGTACCTTTTAACCTTATTTTCAAAGCATTTTTTAACACATTGCAGATGGAGAATTTGTAAAGGATTGGGCGAATATTTTTGCCGCTCGTCCGTAAAGGATTAACAAGTGATTACAACCTTATTTCTGCCTCCTTTTTGATGATTTTTTTGATTATGTCAATGTTTAGTTATACTTAATATTATTACATCTTGGGTTTCTACGATTTTTGCATTATAACTAATGTTTACAATAAGATTTTCTAAGATTGGTAACTTTTAACCTTATTTGCAACGCGTTTTTTAACCCATTGCGGATGGAGAATTTGTAAAGGATTGGACGAATATTTCCGCCGCTCGTCCGTGAAGTGTTAACAAGTGATTACAACCTTATTTCTGCCTCCTTTTTGATGAATTTTTTGATTATGTCAATGTTTAGTTATACTTAATATTATTACATCTTGGGTTTCTACGATTTTTGCATTATAACTAATGTTTACAATAAGATTTTATAAGATTGGTAACTTTTTTTTTTTGGGCGAATATTTCCGCCACTCATCCTTAAAGTGTTAACAAGTGATTACAACCTTATTTCTGCCTCTGTTTCGATGGATTTTTTTTATTAGGTCAATGTTTAGTTATAAGGAAAATACGAATATTAACAAATAATTTTATTTTTGTGACTATTTACGTACGTTTATGTGTCTAAAACTATAAGCACCATATAGTTTGCATGCCTCATAAAATTGTTTCGTGTGCCATATACGGCTCATGGGTAGTCAATTTAAGACCATATCACAAAACAATTTCAAAAGTTGTTTTCTTGTTTATACCTACAAAAATACCTTAGATCTTTACAAAGAGTATTTTGTGACATGATACAATTTATTAATAACAATGTTTTTCATCAAATTTTAAATGAAATTGTTGAAATCTTCAAAGAGTCTGTACCGCTTGAAATGCTTCTGATGTGCAGACATGTATGTGATGCATCTGATAACTTCACTGTCGGCCAATCTTTGATCCTTTTACAAGAACAACAGCTCGTTGCACGCGAACGAATTTACGCTCAGCCACGATCTGTTTAGCAATTATAAAAGAGCATTAAATTTGAATGGAATTAATTAAAGGATTTGTGAAGTCCGCCGTCAGATAACGTCAACCGAACCTGCATTAACATCAAAATAGTTGGATCTGAATGCTACATAACTTTACAAATTGTATTTTACATTGTAAATAATTGTAAAGTTTTGTATTGTATTGATTTTCTTAAAATTATTCATTTCATTTTTTTTAATATGTAATGTTTAAAACCATTTGTTCACTTAACACTTTGATGTATTCTGGTATTTATTTTCCACACTTAGAATATAATTTACAAGGAAGTAATTTTACGAAAGAAAATGCTTTTAAAATGAAGTTAAAATAATTACATAACTGCTAATTACAAAAGTAAATTTGTAAAACAGTATAAATCTTGATCTATTAAAATACAGTTTTGTACGTAATTTACTATGAAATCTGAAATCTTACGTTGATGTAATTATATAAACCAAGATTTCACAGAAAAATGAAATGCGGTAAATATAATGGTATATTTTGTTCTAACCTTGACATATGTCATAACCTAACCTAACCAAAGCTTATTTTTAAATTAAAGAATGTTTTGTTTTGGGGCAAGATTTTTGCTTCTTTTTTTAATAATATTTTTATATTGTGGTTAGAACATTGTTTCTCAACCTTTTTCCCGCACGATCTACACATTTGTTTGTAGTGATTTAAGTTTGTATTTCACCAGATCCTTGCTTTGAAACAAGATGACAGATGTCATTTTACGACCCAATTGTTAAGAGTATTTTACCAGTTTCACGCGTCGACAAGGTGATAGCTGTCATTTTGCGACCCATTAAAAATTAAAACCAATGTAGATTTTCTTCTAGATAATTCTTAATCTAATCCTAATTTTACCTAAACAAATCAATTTCAATCTGACCCAGCATAACCTTACTTTTTCTATTTTTGTTCTGTGAATTATCAATAATTATACGTTAAAAATTTACTTCCTAATAATGTTTTTAAGATTCGTAGCAACGAAATAAAATCACCCTGTAGATCCAACAGCTAAAATTATCACCTGCTTTAATCTGACGATTAATCAGAGCATCTTTGGAATCTGGACGTGCCGAAATTAAACTTGAATTAATTCGATTTACATTGCGATGTTTGCGTTCTCGCCGATCCGAGATCCGCATTTATTCAGTCCAATTAAGGCCGCGCTTCTTTTTTTCTTCTTCTTATTTATTCAGTATTACCATTTTCGAAATAATTAACACCGATTTTCCTCTGTTTCTTTGCAGCGATGAAGTTTCTGCGCGGTATCGGCGTGAGCCGGAAAACCGGAAACGGATCCGGCGGACTGTGGCCGAGCGTCTTCAACGTCGCGACTAAAGCTGAGATCACCACCAACGCAACGTGCGGTCACACCGGAAGACAGGAGTTCTGCAGGATGGGCGAAGGCGCTTCCGGTAAAGGAAGATGCGGCGTCTGCGACGGTTTCAGTCCGGATCCTGGTAAACGTCATCCCATCACTAATGCAATAGACGACGGACCCAACAAATGGTGGCAGAGTCCTGCCCTGCACTACGGCAACGAGTATTCTTATGTGACCATCACTCTGGACCTGAAACAAGTAAGTCGAACATTGTTTTTCCTTTTAATCGACGATTTAAATGCATTTCGATCTATTTACAATCGACGCCCTTGGGAGCGCACACACAGCACAGCGCAACCCTCGAAATTCAGTTTCATCTATGTTTTTTATATTTTGTATCCTTTTAATTTCATTTTATTTATTCTGCTTCCACTAAAAACCCAATTTAGATTAGAGATCCATTAATGAAATTTAAAATACATGTGCGGACAAGCCACCAGGGCCCACTGAATTTATTACTCGGCGATGCCCATTACAGATTAAAAACTTTACTGTGAAAACCCGTGCGAGGGCAAAAAACCTAGTCTAATTACCATTCATTTTACCTAGTTTTCTATCAAACCAAAGCTCCAATCTTCTCTCTCTCTTTTTTCTTCTTCTTTTTCGCTCTTCACCGTAAATTGCTCTTTTTTTCAACTTTAATTATAAAAGACAAACCTTTATGAACCCAGCTTCAAAATGTATAAAATTTTCCATATGCATAAACTGAAATAATGCTGTTATTCAAACATATTTTTCTTAGTTATTTTTTTTATCAAAACTGGAGCTCCATTTTTTTGGTCGCATTTCACCGCAAATTACACTTTAATTATAAAATACAGTTCGTAAAGACACAATGATAAATAACAGAAAAATTCAAATAGGTAAAAATATAAATAATGCAATTACTGAAATCTATTCGAATTAACACTTATTTCCTCTTTATAATCGAAGCTTCAATCTTTTTATGTCGCTCTTCTCCTCTTCTGCAATTTCAACTTTAATTATAAAAGACCGATCTCAAAATGTATGAAATTTTCTAATGCATAAACTGACATAATCGTGTTATTCAAACATATTTTTCTTAGTTATTTTTTATCAAAACTGTAGCTCCATTTTTTTTGTCGCATTTCACCGCAAATTACACTTTAATTATAAAATACAGTTCGTAAAGATCCGGTGATAAATTGCATAAAAATTTAAATAGGTAAAAATATAAATAATGCAATTATTGAAATCTAGTCCAATTAACAGTTATTTTCTCTTTATAATCCCACTTTTTCATCTTTAATTATAAAAGACAAACCTTTATGAACCCAGCTTCAAAATGTATAAAATTTTCCATATGCAACTGAAATAATGCTGTTATTCAAACATATTTTTCTTAGTTATTGTTTATCAAAACTGGAGCACTTTAATTATAAAATACAGTTCGTAAACACCCGATGATAAATTACATAAAAATTCGAATAGGTAAAAATATAAATAATGTAATTACTGAAATCTAGTTGAATTAACAGTTATTTCCTTTTTATAATCGAAGCTTCAATCTCATTATTTCGCTTGTCTCTGCAAATTGCTCTTTTTTCAACTTTAATTAAGAAAGACTAAAGGTTTGTCTTTCTAAAAATGTATGAAATTTTGAAATAATGTTGTTATTCAAACCAAGTTCAATTACCATATTTTTCTTTGTTAATTTGTATCAATCTGAGTCTATATTTTTCTTGCACTTCTATTTCTATTTTTTTTCTTACTCTGTTTCAACTTTAATTATAAAAATACAGTCCTTTACGAATCCGGAGTTAAATTGTATGAAATTTCAATAATACATGTACTTGATATTATTATTTAAATAAGTTAAATTTAATTTTGCTGACAATTTTACATTACATTGTTGATCAAAGTTGAATGAAAATGAAAACTTGTTAATATTATCCTTTTGAAAATAATTATAAATATAAAGTCGCTAAAATTTCTGAATGCACCCTCGTGTTATATTTATAATACGAAGCTTTGTCAGACGCTCGTTTCGGAAGTTTCAGAAGTTTCCAGATGACAAATCCCTTTGCAAAAAGAGGCGCTTGTCAAGGTCCGCTTAGCTGCCGTAACAAGTGCAATAAATAACGTTTAAAGAGGAAAACTTCCGGAGGTCGAGTTATGATAATAATAATGATAATAACGATGATGATAATCAGAAAGAGCGGAGAGCTTAACGTACCCATAAAGAACGGCAGTAAATTCCGCGATTTTTAAGGTGAAGCCTAAAAAAAAAAAACGAACTAATTATGCAACCGGATTATGCAACGTGCCAATGAAGAGAGGATGCAGCGTGCATGCCTCCTATGGAGCAGGTGTTCACAGTTAGCTTCGGATAATCTAAATATGAATAGCAACTACATGATTATCCTCACGTCCTCTGCTTCTTCAGATTCCTTGCGTTAATTCACCCTGTCTTGTTCATTATTTTTTTATTTCGTTTTTTTTTCCTTCATTCTCCTTACATTTTTCTTTGATAATTCTAAAAGGAGATGCGGAAGTGGAGAGCGGCGGGAAAATTTAATTTTGTGCAACGATTACGGACGCACTCGAATTCGAATTGCTCGCAATCCTGCTGATGCTCTGAAGGGTAGTTTGTGTTGGGCGCCTCCGTTTTCCGCATATTAAAATGGCGCCCATCGCATAATGCGACCCCTTTCCACAACTACCTCCTTCGCCAATCTTTCTTTTTTTTTCTTCTTTCTCATTTCTTCCACTTCTCACGCTGCGGTGGCGGCGGCAGCAGCAGGAAGTCATCATTCCGTGGACGTGATCGAATCATTCGAATGATTCTATTCGAATGGAATCGGTTTTGCGGCTGCTGCCAAGCCAAGCCAAGCAACCGCAGCAGCTACCGCAAATTGATTACATCCGAAGCCGCGTTTATTGAGATTGTTTTCCATGGAAACGCATCCAAACAAATTGCATAAAATAAAAGATTGCAGTCATGGATATCCAACGATTTGGTTCAAACATCTTGCCAATCAAGCACAACACGACATACGCCAATTTTATAAAATAGCTTACTTTTGTAAGAAAGGAAGAAATCCATGAAATCATTTAATTCCAAGTAGGATTTCCACATTACACAAATACTGCAACACTTATACAAAACTCAAATACATATTGTTAATTCCAATTATTGAAATGATCATAGATAATTTCACAAGTAACTTGAAATGCCCAAATCTTTGCACTTAACTTTTAGTTTACTATAGAATCAAGTAGTTTATGATTGGTGTTTACTAAATTGAAATTTTAATTAGCATATATAATTTTCTTCATAACTCCACGACTTCGATTAAAATTTAAGAATAAACATGACGTGAAGTTCAAATTATGAGAAAACAACAAAGAAAATTGATGAAAATTGTCATTATTATGAACTTTATATAAATATTTCAAGTATTTTGGTTTATAAATTAACAATAATTCTTACTTAACACGTAACAGAATGACCCGATTATAAAATATATGAAAAAATAGAATAAATTATTAATTTTTATAACAAACATAGATTAATTCTTATTAATTTATGAATTTAACAAAACATAAATCTGATGTTAGTTTTCAAAACAAATCTGAGCAAATTTTTTTTTAATCAAGTATAACAAATTGAAAATTACAAAATTATATTAAAATAGAATAGCATGGGTCATTCTGACCCATCCGCAATACTTACGGGGTAACATTACTTTTCACCTTATATTATTCCTGTGATTGTTTCTGAAAATAAAAGCATATACAAAACTAAATATATTGTTGCATGAGTATCACTTTTTTTGAAGTTATGAGAAATCTTGCAATAAATCAAATGTTGAGACTATAATTTCTGTTTTTTCTACGAACCAAAGCTATTTTCATAAAAAAATAATTGATATCAACGTTGATTATCTAAGATTTATACACGGTATACCGAGTACGTAATAACTAGTGGTATAAACTTAATTATGATTTGGTGTGCGAAAAAGCAATATGCAAAGTCGTAAATGTTATTTTATATGTTTATACACACATTTCCATTTATTATTCTACACATTATTTTATATTTATTTATTTATTTTAAATCTGATATAATAATAATTAGTTTTGACACATAAATTTAATTTTAATTAGAGTTTAATTTTCACTTGTAATTTCAATAACAAATTACGAATAATTTAAACTATTTAAACTATTCAATTCATTATTAATTCAAGATTTAGTAAAACATTTTACCTAAGTTAATTTTTTGTCTATAATCATGAATAAATATGATTATTTTTGATATAGTCTTAAATAAATGTTTATTATATAAGGTGTCGCAATTAAGATTTAAATTTGGCGCCTTTTTTGTAATAAGGTTGGCATATAAAAATTATGTAAAAATGATCTTTTACATACTTTTTTTTAATATTTTTATTTTTGTATTATAAAATTATCATCAATCAATTACTTTCTTTGTAGTTCAATAATTGTTCTATTCAAATATATTTGATTCTTAATATAATAAGAGAATAAGGTCAATTGTATTTCAATTATATGAACTTGTTTCAGTTTTGTTTTCATAGCAGTTTTTTGCATGTAAATGCAATCAAATACCAATCAAAATGTGTACTCATAAATAAGTAAATGACCTTAATTTGCAAATTCAAATGTAATTACTCCGCATCGGATATGCGATGTGAAACAAACTATCGGAATCGGGCTGTTAAAAAGTGAAAGCCATTTCGACTTTGTCGACGCGGCAAAATCTGAATGGACTTTAGGAAATGTCAACTGACAATTGTGGATCGGATTGCGCATATATGGACAACCGTACGTACACAACTACTAGTTATGAAATATCCCACATGAATATATTGATTAATGCAATTAGCGTTTTCAGGGAAAATTGTCCTTTTTTTCTGTAATTTAAATTTGTTGTTGGCGATAATGAAGTGGTTCGATTATAATTGTGGGAAGCGATGAGAAAATTCCATAGTTAATATAACGATTGGATAATAATAAATCGGCGAGGATGTTTTTATCGCGCGCAATAAATATGTTAAAAAGTAGCTAAAGGATTATTGTCTTTGGGTCTCCGTTTGTGTGTACGTCTGTCTGTCTCTGTATGTTTGCGTGTGTGTGTGTGCTTTTGTATGTCCTTATTTAGGACGGACGAACGAACTGCTTGCTGCCTGTTGTTTGCGGGCATAAAAAGC